TCTCAATCTCATTTAGAATTCTTGTACATATACAGAGCTTTGATTTCAGTTCAGTAATCTCAGTCACTTTTCTTACTGCTTTAAGTAAATTCTCTGAAAGGTTCTGTATATCTTTCAGTTCAGGTAGCAGAGAAGAATGTTGTTCATATCAGCTAGAGAAGATATTCATTTCAGTGATTGATTTCTGATTGATTGTATGATATCTATCATTATATTGCTATATCACTGTATCACTATATGATTTCTGTTATCATTGTACAATTCTGATGATGATCATCTCCTTCTTTTATTCTTCTTTTAAGTAGAGAGTGAACTTCTTTGAATCTGATTCACTGCTCTCATCTTCTTTCTCACACATCATTCATTCGCGTCTCATATATGACATTCACCTGAGTGTGGAGTTTTCCCTTAACAAGCAAAGCAGCATCAATTAGATGCTCTTTCACTCATCACTCTTCATACACTATCTTTTGAGATGTTCTAGAACCACACTGGCATGATAACTACAAATCACTTTGTAGACAGAATTATCACACTCTGAAGAAGCCTGCACTTCTCATCAGTTTTTAGACATGCTATCAGATGTGATTCAAAGATTGCTTAAGCCAGTATACAATTACAGGCATACACCAGCTTCTTATATTGTAATCTCATATGCTAAATTAATTAGTGTACGCTATGGCCTCTTTACACTCATACGCGTACACTAGTAGTTCGGAAGCGGCCGCGTGATTATCCGACAGTTGTACGTTCTTCCGAACCACATTTCAGAGATGTACAGAAACAGCTACAGTGTTATATAGTAATATTATCTTCATTCAATACATACACTATTGATATTCTTTATATGCATTTATTATATAATCTATATCAGAGATACATGCAGAAAACAGATCTTTGTTACTAGAAAGAATGATTGCAGTGATTCTCTGTTTTTATATTATAAAGATAAGTTATTCTTATTTCTTTCTTCTCTCTTTTCTCTTCTTCTTCAACTTATCACTAAGTTCAAGCTGGTATGAAAACTATTAAAATACTCATAGAAACTCTTAAATTGAAGAGTATAGATTAATCAAATTTTAAATGCAGATGAATCAAATTATATTTAATAATACTAATTATTTTTCTCTCTCTTAATAAAACAATAGTTATGTCTTTTTCTTCCCTCTCAAATGAAACATGACTTGTGAAAAGTGAGTATCATATCAGATTATAATGATTAACATAGCCTCAGCACACATAGCTGTATATACACAGTATGTACTGAACTGAAAGACTGTGTAAGTTGCAAACTGACAGCAGCATCTCAGAGAGAGCTGTGTGATATGAGAAAGTTATAACTCTTTATTATATACACAGAGAGTGAATTACTGCAGTAAGTACATATATATTATATAAAAGTAATACTTTTTAATAACACTCAGTTTCTGATATTATGAAAATAGAGTCTCTCTGTGAGATCTGTTTTTATCAGAAGTTGAGAAATTTTATATTTCTCAAGATTATCTTTACATGTCTTATCTGTGAAATTGATGAAGAGAATCATCAATTTCAGTATTCTGTTCTTGATATTATTTAAGTAACAGCAGAGTTCACTTTAATCACACTTTTTAAGTGTATATTTTCTAATTATTCACATTTATACAGATATATACTGATTATTTATTAGATAATATTAAGATAATAACTCATCACAGCTGTGTTATTCTCACTGTGAGAAATATATAATTAATAATAAACATTGTAAATACTAAAGACTCTGAGAAGTAAGTATTTTAAGAGTGCTACAGCTCTGCAATCTTGATTTTTTTTATTTTTATTTTTTATTTTTTTCTTTTTCTTTTATTTTTTTTTTCTTTTTCTTTTTTTTTTATTGTGATTTTTTCTTATGTTTATTTTATTTTTTATTTTTTATTTTTTTTTATATTTTATATTTTTTTTATAATTAAAATTATATGAATTATAATCTATGTTTAGAAAAGTAATGATATTTAGTAATATTCTCTATTGAATTTTCAACAGATGAGTACTATGTATTATTATTATTATTATTATTCTTCAATTATAGATGTATACAGTCAGAGACTATGATATCTATCTGAGAACTTTAAGTTCTCAGGGTTTTTTCTATATCTGTAAAGTTAACTATTATACATTCATCAATTTCAGATATGTAAAATCAGAAAATTTCAGTTCAGAATATAAAAACTGTTTACAAATTACAGTGTTTTAACATCTTCTAATACTTTGAAATCATTTGACAATATCATGACAAAGGAAAAGAGAAAAAGAACATAGTCTTAAAGATAGACACATTAAATAGATAGATAGAAAGAAATTGAAAGAAAAAGATAAAGTAAAGAGAGACTGTAATAAAACAAATTATTAAAAGATAGTGTATAGCTGTTTTAACAGACTATATCTGATTGATTTTCTCCTCTTTATATTCAGATAATTCTGAATTTAGTCATTTCTTATAGCTGCTTGAGTTTCTGATAGAAAGTCTATTAAGTATTTAATTCCTGTCTCAGTTGAGAATAAGAATCTTATATTTAATTAATTTAGATTATACTTCTCTTTCAATCTGACTCTGAGACTATTGTATAATACACAGTGTATTACAATATGCTTAGAATTCTCATTTGTATTACAGAATGAGCATTCTATTAAGTCAAATCTATCATTAAATCTTTGTATATAAGATTTGAAATAGTCATGTTCTAGTTTCAGCTGTATTATAGATGAGAATATTTTCTTTTTACATTTAATTAAATAAGATTTTTACTTGAGTTTTGTTTCAAATCTTGAATAATTTATACTCTTCTTTTGTTTCTGTCAGCTTTTATTTCACTTATCTAAATAAGATTCTTTTATTTTTCTCTTTATAAAAGATCAGAACATAATTTTTTAAATAGATCTGCTTAATTCTGCACTCTTTTTTACAGCTGAATCAGTCAATTCATTGTCATGAATATTTATATAAGCAGGAACTCAGTGTAGATGAATTATCAGCTTTGATATTCTTCTCTTTTGAATTTTCAAAACAGAGTTAAAGATCAGTTCAAGATTCATTTGATTATTATAAATCTGACTACTTCTAAGTCTTTTTAAAGCAGCTTGACTATCAGAGAATATTCATATCTCTTTTAAACTATTTTCTCTTTTATAAGATTTTATTTCTATGAGTTTGAAAGCTTTCACTATTATAAATAGTTCAGTATCAAAGACTTCAGATTCATAGTCTAGATTTCAGAAATCTGAGATAAAATTGATATTATCTTCAGTATAAGCAATGTCTGTATTTAATCTATTCAGGTTCTCATTTTTTGAGTCATCTGAATAAATCAGAATAGAGTCTTTTATATTAATTATAAAAATTCTCTTTAAATGCTGTTTATATTCTTTCTCTTTTAATAGTTCACTTATTTATAAGTCTATAAGAGATTCAAGCTTTTCTCTTCAGAGAGATAACTTCTCATAATTCACTTTTTCAATATTTAAAGAAGAAAATTGATTTTTAATCAGAGAGTATAGTCTGTAAAGTTGAGAAGACATTTTCTTTGAAGAATTATTTTCATTTCAATTAAGAAATCTATTTCAATTCAGTTCATTTTCAGAGTTAATTGATGAAAATGAAGAAAAGACTCTTTCTCTGATTATATGATTTAAGCTCATCTTTATAACTCTTAGTGTATAGTTCATACAGGTCTTTTCAAATCTAATAGCAGGAGAAGAAATTGAAGCTTCAATTTTCATTGCTTTAATAGAAGATAATTTAAATGCTTCTAGAATTCTTCTCAAGACTCTGTTTTACAGAGTTTGAAAGAGTTCAGTGAAGTTCTCTTGATTATTTCATCAAACTTAAACTTCATAATCAGCTACTGATGTAATACAGGCTATATATAACTATCTCATAGTCTGGAAGAATAGACTTCTCTCTGTATTTGATAATCTGATTATGTTATTCAATAGTCTTTCTGTAATATGACGGAACCGAAGCGGTGGCTAGTCAGCGGCGTCATGTAGAGGTAGTTGTTTGAGAAGCTGTATAAGTGAGCTTGACTATCTTGCTTAAATAGTGAGCTTGTAGGCTACAGAGTTATTGTGAGAATATCACAGATATGATACTTAGTATACTAAGAAGATTGTATAAGATATACAGTAACTCTTGTATATATTTCAGTAGAAGAAAAAGATAAATTACTGACTTCTTTGATAAGAAGTCAGTATCTAGCTATTCTATATAGACAATGAGTGAATACTTTTCTCTTATTTTATAAGTGAGAATAGCTGAAGTAATACCTCAGCAATGTCTCATTATTAAGAAAGAGTAATCTGCTGATCTTATATAGAAGCAGAGTTCTTATATTCATCAATCAGATCTTTCTATGATATATTTAAATAATATTATAGAGTGATTGAAAACTGATTCAGTCAGTTTGTGAGATGAATGAAATTATTCATATAAAAGTGATGAGCTGTGTGAAACTGCAGTGAGATCTTGACATAATCGGAGATATGATAATATTCTCTTCTTTAAAAGTATAGTTCTGATACTCTTAAGATTACTGAATTAGAAATTATCTTTATTGTATAGTAACAGTTATCAACTGATTTGACAGTGCATGTACTGTATATAATATAAAGAAATAGATGAGTTTTTCTACTAACTATGTAGATCTTTCTTTTCTCATCTTTATTTAAATTAAATGCATGATAAGTGAGTTTCTTATATATTGATTTAAAATGTGAAAAATATAATTAATAAGTGACTTATAGATCTTTCAATATATTCTGTTCTATATATGAAATTCTCTGCAAAAGTGATGTGTTTTAGAGACAAAGTTAACAGTAGTGATAGAATTTTCTTGAAAAGATCTTTTTCTTTTATAATATATTTTTCTCTTCTTCTCTTCATCTGTAATAGTGAGTGCATGAGAGTATTATTCTTAGAGAATAATAGAGGACTTATTCTGATGTTTTCTAGTGAGTAAATGTCTTCATGATGCAGCAGCAGCCTCTGTGACTGTTAAGAAAGCCAGGTTAAAGATGAAGATAACAGTGTCAATGAGCTGTGAGAGCACTGCTCTCATTGTCACATCTTCTTCTTCTTCTGCTTCTTTTACAGCAGTGATGATAGTCACTGTGTCTTGCAGTGAGATGTCATCTCTTCTGTCAGTCAGTTTATCTATGTCTGATTCATTCTCTGCCTCTCTCACTGCCATTGCAATGCTATTTCTCTTCTCAGTCAATACAGTGATGTATGACTCTGTGTGATCATTCAGAGAGAAATCTGAAGAGAGCTTGATTCTGAGAACAGTGACTTTAAGAAGCTCAATCTGTAGTTTCTCTTCTGCAGCATACTTAAGTTCTGCTCAGAATGCTGCTGAGTTGAGTCTGCAGAATTCTGCAGTTTCTTTATCTTTTCTCTGTAAGAAGGCTCTGATGCAGTCTCTGACTGACACTGCTACTTATCTGCACTGCATTAAGCAGCTGAAGAAGAGAGGGATTTTATATATCTACTTCTTCTCTCACTCTCACTATTTTTATTATATCTGTAACAATGACTTCTGTCTCTCTGTAAGTATTATCTCATAGAAAGATGTTGTATCAGCTCTGATAAAAAGTCTAGATACTTAAGCAGTACAGAGTGAGAGTCTCAGAGCTTTAAGTGTTAATAAATTCTGTCAAGACTGAAGAGATCTTTCTTACTTATCTGTAAAAGAAGATAAAAGCATGAATCTCTAAGATGAAAAAACATCTCAGAATAACTGATCTTAAGAAGAAGTCAGCTGATATCACTGTTGAAAGTGTTATAAAGATCAATTACTAATTGAAGAGAATCTTACTTTAGTTAAAATAGATGATTAAGATACTTTGTAAGTTAATAAGTTAATATTTTATATATTTCTTATACTCTTCTGTAGTGCTGCAGTGCTAACTTCTCAGCAGACAAAGATATCAGTGCTGAAGACTTTAACAGTGAAGAATGAGTTTGATAAGAGTGTGATTATTGATAAGTAGGCTCTGATTCTCTCTTTTTACTTTTTCAGTGAGCTGCAGTCTTATTAGAATAGCAGCAGCTCACAGATTAATAATATTAATCTTTTTATTAATTTTAAATATCTCTTTTCTTTTAACTGCTTCAGGAATTTTATATCTGTGTAGTCTTATTAAACTTCTAAAAAACTCTTTAAGAGAAAATAGAAGAAGAGTACTACAGAGTCTATAAGATATTAACTTATTATTACAAGATTATCTCTAAAAAACTCTTTAAGAAAAATGAGAAGTCTTTAAGTAATATTTCTTACTTAATATCTCTGATATGTAACAGAGTAATCTCTACTAGCTATCTTATAGTTTACAATCTCTTTCTCAGTATTTTTCAAATACTTAAACAATTCTTATAAATTCTCTGACAATGAATAATCTTCTTATTTAACAAGATATTGAAGCTTATTATAATATATTTACTTATTTAATATTTTCTTCATAAGATATTCAGTATCACTCTCAATTTTAATATTATTCAGCTGAGATAACTCTGCTCTGAGACATTGCTTATAGAGCTTTAAATAGAAAATGTGAAAAATAGAATGAATTGATTTCAATTCTATAAGTAATTTCAACTCATATATCTGCTTACTTATTACTCTTATTACTGAGAAAGATTCTAGTTACTACTCACTGAGCTTCTTATATAATCTTATTATCTTGATATTCTTTGTTGAAAATAGTACTTGATTCTCTATTGAAAACTTCATTGAAAGATGTTTTTAATTATAGTATTTTATCTATTACTTCTGAGTATAATGAATACTTCTCACTGTCTTCTTATGAATTTTATTCAAAAGTTTCAATCTCACTTTTACTTCTAGTACTGAGAGATACTTTATTCTCTGTATCTGTCTGACATTCTGACTGCTTATTTCTCTCTTTGAAATGTTGTTTATAATGTCACTGAGTAATGAAGAATTATATTCATAACAAGTATAGAAAGAAGATATCTTTAAGATTACATTCTTTACATTATTATATATGAATTCAGTGATTAGAAGATATTTGAGTCAATTATTCTAATAATATGAATAGAATACTTAAAGATGCTATTCTAGTATCTGATTCTGATATTCAGTCTGATCATTGATCTGTGAATGAAATACAGTACTGAGAAGATATATTATTATAAGATGATAGTAAAAAGCTGATTAGAATTTACTGATGAAGAGAAATTCTTGATCTGTTATTAATAATTTCAGAGCACTGTGATTATAAATAGACTGACCGTGTGACCGTGTCTGGGACCAGGACCAGAATTTTTGATAGTCTCATTGTGAATTCGACAGATTCAATTACACGGTTCTAACATTAGATAGTAGTTTCATACTGTCTCAGTGAGACTTACTGTCTACTCTTGTCACATTTTCCAAATGAGACCATGATTTTCACTTCTCAATTTAAATTATTTTTATTGCTTTAAATGACTTTAAATCTCATTTGAGTGTTACCAAAAAGTGTTACTTTTTAAAAAATTAAAAATAGTCTAAAAAAAACCTTAAAATGTCTAAAAATAGTAACTTTATGTCAAGAATGAGACTAAATGAGATCAAATGAGATCACTTTCTCATTTTTTTCAAGTCATGATTCCATTTTGAGATCTGATATATAGTCACTTTATATGTTTATTTAATGATTAGTCCCAGCGGGATTCACGCCAAGAAATGTATGGGACCAGACCAAATGAGACCAAACGTGAAATTCATGGTCCCGGCGGCCAGTCTAATTATAAATGATGATATCTAAAAACAGATCAGTCAATTCAGAGACTTTAATCTTTTTATAAATAGAGATATATCTGATCATCTTTATGAAGTAGTTAATAATGACTAAAATCAAGTCATATTCTTTAACTCTTGTTAACTTCAGTAGATTAACTATGAAATTCATTGATAGATTCTATCATAAGCTCTTTGAAACAGACAGTGATATCAACTCACTGTATTACTTATACTGTGAGATCTTTATTCTTTGATAGATATTATAAGTCTTAATATACTCTTTGACATCTGTTCAGAGCTTGTCTTAAATATATTTATATTTTAGAAGCTTCTCAGTCTTCTCTAACTCAAAGTGTTCTGTATGAAGATTATTATAATGAATTCTTAATAACTTCTGACACACTGCTCTGCTATGAGAGATGAAGACTGAATCATTCAGTAGTAGAAGTTTATATTCTTCTAGTTATCAGTGACTTGATTTCTTAGCAATACTATTCTGCTCAGAGTCTATCTCTTTCAAGTTCAAATCAGATTCTTTCTTCTTTAACTTCTGAATTCAAGCTGCAGTAGAGATATCTCTCTTCTATAACTTATCAATGAATTTTAAAAGTAGTCAGATTAAAAGATTGTAGACTATTTCATTCTTTATTAATTCAATGATTGTAAGATATAACATGAGAAGCTTATAATCTTTAGTATCAGTTCTCTGCAGAGACCTGAGTTCTCTTTCATCTTCTATACTGAGTCACACAGCTGTCTCTCTGACACTGTTCTCAAGCTTTAGAGAATCTTAATTCTCTGCAGTCAGCTTCTTCTGCAGTGATAATAGAGATTCTTTTATAGAATTCTTCTCTGTATTAATAATATTATAATCAGACTGTTTAGACAGTGTATTGACAGAGTTAAGCTGATCTGAATAATATTAGATATAGAAATTATACTCTGAAAGCAGCTTCACTTATCTGACTTGATGTTCTGTCAAGCTCTTTATTATCAAGAAGTAATATAGATTTATATAATTAGTGAGAACTTGTACTGAGTACTTACTATTCTAGAGATAATATTATCAGATCTTAAAGAATTCAACAATTGCTAATATCTTCTGATTATAAGTATTATATCTTCTCTATATAAGTGATAATTTCTTGAAGAAGAAGGTCACTGATCTTTATTCACAGTATTTTATAAACTCTGTAAAAAAGTCTTCTCTCACAGACAATTCATTGTCTGTTTTCTCAGAGATAATTATTTCCTGATTCTTTCAATATTGAAAGATCTTCAGTATTAACTGTAAAAAGATTTCACAGATCTCATTCTGAGATGTATCAGTCTCATACTGACTGAGTAAGTCAGAGTTAAAATGATTCAGTATTATGACATCTGTGAAAGCTTGTTTCAATTCTGCAAACATCTGTATAATGTCTTGAGTGAGAGTAAATGATTCTATTTTTCTGTCTTTTACACTTCTCTTTAACAGATCTGTAAGGAGGGCAGTAATTCATAAATATATATAGATAAATTATCTATAGAAATTCACAAATTCTAGAAACATCTGTATTTTATGATATGTCTGCAGTATTAACCAGTTCTCAATGATAAAGATCTGACTTCTATTCATTGAAATACTATTCATCTTAATAATATAATCTAAGAAATCAATCTTCTGCATGTAGAATGAGCATTTTTCAGTGTTTGTATAGAGTTAATACTGTCTCAAGTGACTTAACACTTCTTGAACATGAGTATCATATTCTTTCTCTGATTTTAAGAAGATTAAAATGTCATTCAGATATACTATGTAGAAGATGTTAACAAGGCTCTGCAGTGCCTCATTTATATAGATCTGAAAGATGACTGAAGTGTTATAAAAATCAAAAGATAAAACAAGATATTCAAAATTACTGTACTTAGTATGAAAAGTCATTTTTTAAACATTGTCTTTATTAACTCTGATTCTATGATAGATATTCTGTATATTAATCTTTGAGAACATCTTTGCTTCAGATAATCAATTAATTATCTTATTAATTAACAGTAGTGAATAGTGATTCTTAATTATCATCTTATTAAGATCTCTGTAGTCTATGCATAGACATAGTCTATCATTCTTCTTAAATATAAAGAGTATAGATGTCTCTACTGAACTCTTTGATAAATATATTCAGTTCTTTGATTGCACTTCTTCAAGATATTTGTACAGAATATTCAATTTCTTTACAGATAAGTTGTAAAGAGATCTGTATAGCACTGTTACATTATCTTCAAGATAAATCTTATATCATATCTTGATATCAGGAAACTTTGCTGCTTTTCTTTTTAAAAAGACATTCTTAAAATCTATAAAGAGATGTTATGTATATTCATCTTCAATGACAGATACTGCTGCTAATCTTGTAGTAAGAATAATAACTTCTTCATCTATTCTCAAGTCTCAATTATCTGCTATA